TTTTCTGCCAGTCCTCTTCTTTACCCTAACCCCTGTCCCCGTCGTGTCCCCCCCCTCCCCCGTGGAAGCCACGAAGATCTTGGCGGCCCTGGCAAGGGTGGTTGTTGGACGGTCTGCCCTTCTGGTTGTCATTGCTCCTTCTGGACTTAGTAGAAAGATGGCAGTTGGTGAAAGATCTTACTCAGTTGCGCTCCCAGCTTTATCGTGAGAGGAAATGAGATTGAAAACTGCTGCCATGCAGGGGACTTGCATCCTCCGGAGGGTGATCTCGGTAAACATGGCCCTGGACCACACTTAACGAGCATGACCGAGCTTACGTAGCAGTCAGACTGGAGTTGTCTGTGTGGCACTGCAGAGGCCTAGTGCTTGATACTCCTGAATCTGCTATTTAAAGGAGGCTTGGCTTGGAAGAGGTTTTTGCAGGTTTGATTTTTTTGTTTGGTTGTTGTTTGTTGTTTTTTTTTTTTTTTCTTCCGAGGATGGCAGCAATAAATACAGTGGCATTACAGTATGTAACTAGTTTGAGACCTGAGTTTTTTTAAGGGTTGAAAGTAATAAAGACGTTCATCCCAGGCCTTTTTAAAGAGAAAGTTAGAACTAATTTAGGAGAGTGGCATTTTATGTCATTTAATCACAAATAGTTAGGCCTCCATTCCCAAGGATCAACAATAAACATATCATGTGGGTTCTTTTATGCTTAATATGGAAGACTAGATCACAATTAATGAGTCTTCTCTTTTTTTCCTCCTCACCCCCTCTTGCTTTCCTTTCCTTATTGTTTTCCCTCCCCACTGGGAGATTCAGGAATATTTTGTTATATGTTGCAACACATTTTAACATTTAGTTTCTTGTTGTCTGTGGAGAGAGATAGTTGTGTCTTTGCTTTATCTTACACCCACATTTCACGCTCTGAAATTAAAAGATACTTTCATTTTTTTCACAGAGAGGAGGGTTCTGGTGTTTTTCCACTGTGAGATTTCCAGCCTAGTTTAATGCAAGGACATTGGAGTAAATGCTTTGGCAAGTCTGAGATAGTTCAGACCCCAGCTGTTTTTGGAGTTTAGTGAGTGAGTTTGAGTACGCAGATTTATATACAGCTACGTAAAAGAACACTGGCCAAAGCATTGTCACAACATTTGGCGTGCCTTAAAATTGTGTAATTTCATTTATTGTAAATACTTTGATCATAGACGGATGCTTCTCTCTTAGATCAGGGGTTTTGCATAAGGAAAAGGAGTGCCTACATGCTGCTTTGTGAAGTTTTTGGACGTTTGCATGGAAAATCATTTTCTTGGCATATTATACTGGAAGCTTTAATGCATTGAGCTTCAGTTTGCTATATATGTCTAGTTAAGGTGTGAAAATATTTGTAACCAATGACAACAACCATCATATTTCATAAATAACCTTTATAAAATTTTGGGCCATCCAGCATGCTGGTTAAGGACCATTTGAAAATTTATCACCTTCTCAGTGCTGATTCTTTTGTAGGCTAACCACATACAGGCTTTCTGTTTTCCTCCTGTCAGAAACGAGTTGTAGGTGACTTGTTAGGATGGAAAGTTGTACTGGTTTGCTCCTGAGTGTAACAAATTCACTCAGTTCTGTCCCAGAAATGATGGCACCAGTAATATTAGAGAAGAATGTTTTGAGTCAGTCTGAATTTACACTTGAAAAGAGAACTATTGGCAAATCAGTGGAATAATCTTAGATTTAAATCAGTTGAACTGGAATTGGAATCTCATTTTACTTGGAATGTAAAGTGTCAGTTACTGCCAGTTTAGTGGATGAACTTCAGCAGAGGCAGTGTTCGAGGGCTGCTGCAGTGCTCACTTCTTTCAGGTCAGTACACAGCCATAGTGTGTTTAAGAATGGAGA